TGGCGGCCGCCAAGTATGTCCATGTTCCCGAAGTAGGCAACCGAAACATATGCCCAAAAGGCATGATAACTGTCAATCTTACCTATCACGCCGGATATTGCTGCAAAAATAGCTAGCTGCTCGTCGAGGTCTTACCTGCGCCTACCTACCAAGCCCTCCCATATCACACGAGCGGCACCCTGAGCACACCCGGCAGGTTACTAACCAAACGTCTTGGCCTCACTCAGCAGTCTGCCCTATGAGGCTTCATGAAAAAAGAGCGAGAGCCACAATCTACCTGCTATTCTGCTCTGATCTGCCCTTTCTTTGTTGGTCAGGCGATACATTGCGGTGTGAGATTGTTTGTCTAATGTGAAACAACAAAAGCAATAACTTCCAGGGATTTTCATCCTTCTCGGGAAGCTGAGCAGGGCGGTGCCATTGTACGGCCGACATCCAAGCGGATAAGCAAGGCATTCCGCGGCAAAGACGGACTATCGTCGCTGGAAAACCTGGAAGAGAGCTTTGATAACTAATGACGTGCAAGTTTGTGTTTGCTGATAAAGTAAGGCTCTCAACGGAGCGGGACGATGCCGAAATTAATCGGAGCTTGACACCCATTGATCACCATTAACAGGGGTAGGAATAGCATGTGCTAACACCTGAATTAGGTTGTTCCGATCTGGATCGGGGCTTGGCTTTGCGGCCATCGAGCGCTCCCCCAAGCCCCGAGTTCTAGACCAGCCAAGAGCTGTTTGCCGCGGAGTCGCCTGGCTTGTTATCACCAGAAAGAGGCGGTAGGCAATAAAGGCGCAGAAACAATAGATGGGTCCGCAGGTGACGGGTGGACATGCTTATCCCAGCCCAAAGACATGATCAGATTGTGAGCACAAAGTCGTCATTTGCAAGAGAATAACATGGTGAGCGGGCAGCCCACTGGGCCTCCAATCAACGAGGGATAATGGCATATTCCAAGTGCATCATCGAAGCAAATGAGAAGTTTTGCCTTGAGTGGAGAGACAGACGGTAGGGTCCCTGAAATAAGCCTAATCCATGCTGATGAAAAGGATTGTATCCCGGATTGCAATAAGAGGTGTCGTATGCTTTCGAAATAATTGGCCAGCGTATCTCGACATGTTGGCCAAGTATTGATTCTGGCACAACTTTGCATATTTTACATGCCGGCATGAATTCTACGTTCAAGGGACGTTTTAGGCACTGATGAAAGAGCCCAATCAAACGGAGTATGTCCATATGAGTGGCTGATCCAAAGCGTGATGGCAACCCCCGACTCCCTTGGGGAGATTGAGAATGAAGCATGTGAAACCTCTCGATACACTAATGAATGTCTACCCATGTAAGTCTGGTTGCCTTTTCTGACTCTGCTCTCTTGATTCAGTGATGAGAGCCTCCTAACTTGGCGGAAACAGGATATCCCCCTTCCACTTGAAAGACGGAACTGGGAAGCGGCCAAGCAATAATGGTCATCACAACGACGGCCAGGTTTTATGAAAGTCGCATTTGTACATGTATCTCTAGGTGAGGAGGTTTTCTTCCGGAGTGTTGCAGTAGCTTTTATCGAGCATGAAGCTATCGCGGCCTAGCCTTCACGGGGGTTCAGCAGGTAGGGTGCGGACAGTGGGAGACAGATATGGTCAAGAGTGATTCAATGACCCTTTCTTATCATCGCCATTAATAAGACCCGTACTAACCAAGAGCTTATTGTCCCTAGCTTGAGGCAGCAGCCCAATCACGTCCTTGGGCATAATATCCTGGCGGTCAGATGTGATGGATGAAAGGCTCGATTCCTATACGACGCCACAAGCGCGAAGAGCGAGGCAGACCCATGTATGCCTGCACGCCTATATGCTGTGTGAGCTAGGTGATGAGGGTACGCCGACAAGGTAGGAGCAGTAAGTAGCCGGGCTCGCTCGAATAACCATGTTTCTCTGATTTGGTACGTCCGAGTAGATCGTGAGCATTTCCGACAAGAGTTCTTGGCACAAACCACAGGTGACTGGCTATGTGAAAGCATGTCTCAGCTGAGGTCTCACACTCGATCCAGATTCGGCTCTCCGGAGGTAGATCCCATGCTCTCAGGTACGAGTAGTAGTACCTAGTATACCACCGCACATATGGAGGATACGAGTACACTGGTAAGATGAGAGAGTCCAGGAGCGATCAATATGCAGTGCTCGAAGCTGGCCTGCAGCCCTGGTGATATTGGGTCCGTGAATGCGTGGTGGAAGCATACGAGTACGGAATACTGGCAGTGGCATCCAGCTGAACCAAGGACAGCCCCTTTGGGTCTCTTCCTTGCCTTGTCTCGCGCCATCTTGCGGTGTTTATCTCGCTCTGCCGTCTTCGTAGCGTCTCTTTGCTTTTGTCCATCCTCCCGCCTTGCCTGATTCTCCCGTCTCTGTCAGTCTCTCTCTTCTCCCCTGCTAGATTCCCCTTTAGCCTCTTGGCGAAGTATCCAGCTCACCGGATTCTGGGTTACGAGCTGCAGTCGTCCCCGGTTTCCAGTGCACCCACTTCGACCATCATTTCCGAAGACGTCAGATCGGAGGGTCAAGGCTGCGGGGAGGGCGGCACAGACAGTGGCATGATTTTCTTGCAAAGCCCGATTTCATTTGATCTCTCTTTGTTTTTTTGTTTTCCCTATTTTCCCTCTTTTTTTGAGATGATTGTAATTTTCATTGCTTTTTCCCCCCCTTTCCCTTACAGGCAAGTGTTTCTAAAAGGAGGCTCGTGATTTGAGTGATGTGCGCAATCCTGCCCAAGCAAGAGCCCGAGGCTTTCGTACTCGCACCAATCCGAGGGTCTTGAAGCCGCCTTCCCCCCCAGTGCACCTTCCTCTTCATCCAGCGTATGATGCAATGAAAATTGAATGGGAAACCGCGTGAGCCACACCGTATTCATCACGTGATGATTTAATTTAGTAGGTAGTACTTTGTACCGACTTGCAAGCTTCATGCTCAACAACAGAACATTGGAAATGCAATGCCAACTCGCCTTTGCGATGCCCTCACCCCCTTTCATGGCCATCCGCACTCTCCCTCGCTACGAGATCAAAAGCGCTCTGTAATGTACTGTACTGTACCTACTGTACGAGTACAGGCATGGCCATCTCAGTGCTTAACCGATCAAGCCCAGGCCCGCAGAGGGCGAATCAGGCCGCAGTGTGTGTAACAGACGCTCGAGACAGCAAGGATTACAGCCTCCCTTCTGACTCAAATGTTTGCTTCTCTGCATGATTTTGGCGCCGCCATCCAGCCTCAGGCTGCGTTTTACTTGGTCGCTATTGGCATGCCCGGATGCTAATGCATGCAGCTCACGCCAGAATATTGATTGAATCGCAAGTCCTACTCTACCTTCTCTCTCTCACCTCTCACCTCTTGTACCTTCGCCTCCATCTCCCCCCTTTAACGCCTGTTCCTTTCGAAATGTTTTCCAGCTCTTTTGGCAGAAGAAGCGCGTACGCGGACTCACAAATACTCGGATCAGGAAACTCTCCCCAGTCGAGCCCAGGCACCACGCTTTGGCATGAGGGAACTAAAATAATGACGGGAACTAGCCCCGGGAGCCCGGAGTCTTGCACCCATCACAGGCGGGACACAAGCCACGAAATTGCCAAGTCGAGCCGGTGAAGCCACTAGCGTCCGCGAAGGGGGTGTTTGCATTTAGCCCATACAGCTGAAGCGCTCCCAGACATGGCTTCCGTGGCGTGGGGGAGTGATGTGATGCCGCAGTAAACGCCGATGAGCCTGAGAGCACGGGTGTGTTCCTCGTCGTCAATCATCTCTGCATTTTCTGTCGCACAAGAGATAGGTCCATGATCCCATTCGCCGCCGGACCGCCACAGGAGGGGCTCTCTTACTACAAGATCTGTGCTCTGCTGATGCCAATATTGATACACGCTGTATCCTTGAGCAAGACGACGAATGAAATCGTAGCAGGCGCAAAAGCAAAGCAAGAGCAAGCATCATGCATAAGGATGGAGCATCTCGGGGGCCAGGCCACCGTGACGTGGTTTCCGGGTTCATTGACAGCCCAGCCCAGGGCAATCTAATTTCGATGCATCTGCTTGCCATCTAGCCCCAGGGCATGCAGGTGCTCATCTGCGTACTCGTGCCTGGGTATCTCGCCCGGTATCCGATGCTGCTGAGTGAGACACGGCACCCGCATTATCAATAAGGCCGCCTTGCGGGCTTATTACTATTACTTATTGTTGTCGCAGAGAGATCTCTCATAATCACAGTTGATGTGAGTTGTGGCTGAGACAACGTCTTGCTGGCTTGCCGTGCTCAGCTCCTCGTTGTACATTGCTGTACACGTGTGTATATCGCACTCTCGCGCAAGTTAGCCACCTGAGTCAAACACTACCTATCATTCAGGCAGCAGGTATATAAACGGGATCATCTCTTCATCATTTGCCGAGCAGCAACCATCTTCAGGTCAGATATTCATGACGGACTCGCGGTCATACTCTTTGTTTATACCCAAATTCCTCACAAATTTCGCAACGTCACCATCCACTCCTGCGTTTTGAACTAGAATCGGCAATGCCAATTACCACAATCCTCCAGCACCAGAGAGATAGAGAGAAGCTAAATCAGCCCGACTTAGGCACTCATATCGCGGAAGACGACCACAATATCAGAAATAAGGACACCATCAAAGAGGTAAGAGTTTCTTAGGCCCTCGCTGTGGAATGATACATTGGAATATCTCTACTAACCAAAGAGGAACAGGCAGTGGCAGTATCTGGGCAATGTGTTGCCCCTGATTCGACTCATCAATCAAAAGTGCTCAATCGTTCAAAGCCTAGCTGCCTGAAGGTCGCCACATCGTCTACAAGGAAAAATTCCCCTAGGAGTCGCAAGACAAAGCAGACAAACTCAAGTCATCTCATTACAAGTGGAAAGACAACCGCTCAGCCACGGGCGACGCCCTTCGATACGCACAGTCCCACGCAGGTGCCTACTGTAAATTGTGACTCTGGGCGAGCATCTTGTACCATGCCACAAAACACACAGCCGTCTTGTACAAGTAATGAGCCTCGACAGAATTCTCTCTCGGAGCACCATGGGGGCCCGCTGTCCCCCACCGACTCGGTGTACGAGGTCGCACGGCGTGCCGTCGACTTTCTTGATGTTCACAAGACTCAGGATACAGCGCCTGGTATCAACGGTCCTCAACTGGTGGCTGCTACTACTCATCTCGGGGAGCTGAGGGCTCGGGAAAGATGTAACATTATGCGGACACCTCCTGCAAGCCATAGCAGTGCACAAACATCTCCTTCAAGCAACGGCAGTGAGAAGGCGCCTCAAATTCGTTGGAGCACTATACAGACATATCCCAGTTGTCGAGATGCTATTGTAAGCGGTTTAGAACCATCGCCTGTCTGCGGTCACCACTAATCTGAGTTACAGGTGTTTAGTGATAAGAAACGAGAACGTGAGATGGCTTCTGGACAGCAGCGCACGAGCTCGCAACGACCACGCCCGAGCTCGCAACCCTTCAATGGGCCACGCCCAAAGTCAAAGTCAGCGGCAGCTCGACGACGGGCGATGCTCAAGCATTCAGTGACATATACGCTGCCGGCTGCGAATCCACAAACCCCCGCCGCTCCAGAGCAACCGGCGGTTTACAATCCAGTAACGACTCCAAATCAAGTACACCCTCCACGCCCAGAAGTGGTTTCCCAATCGGCCAGGACTTTACGACAAGAGACACCTCTACACTCCGTGATGGCTCTACGTCCGGGGCCTCCTTCACGGTCATCCATGGCACCACAGAGCATGGCAAATGCACGGCCGCCAGCGAGATGGCAGCCTATATATCCGAAACCCACCCATCCACAATCTACGTCACAGCCGCCAGCGACTTCACAGCAGGCGATCCCAGAGACAAACAGAGAGCGTGGTCGCCGTCTCAGAAGAGAAGCGCAGCTCAGAAAAGAAGCTTCCCTTCGGCGCCGACATAGTCCTCCGTTGGATGACCCCCAAGAGCCCGCTATAGTAGAGTTTGCGCCGAGCGTTGGAAACAGAGTGGTCCAACATCTCATAAAGCATAAACCTGACGCTGTTGCAGCTTCCAAGCTATCCCATACAATTCCCAAGGAGACTGCTGTGCATTATAACAGTGTGTTAACTTGGCAGGCTGAAAACGCTCAAGTCACTGGAGGTCCTTCACCTCACGGGCACCCATCGCATTCCAACGACGTCGAATCAAGGCCCGCACCGTCTGACGTAGTACCAGCCTCTCAAGAAGCACAGGGTCTGGCACCAATCGTTGTGCCCATTAGAAGCATGCCAGTCTCTCAACAACTTGTGGGCACTGAAAATCATCCTCGCCCTGGCCATCCGAATACCTTGGCCCCGCAACGTGGTGTTCCATCACATCCATATTCCAGAGTCCCTTCCGGGGAGTCGGAAAATGCTCCGAATGGATATGGTATCTATCCCCCAGCACCAACACAGCAGAGCATATATGAACAGAGAGAGAGGAGAGTAATGGGCGATTGCGACAATGACGTCCAAGAAATTTCTCGACAGGATTGGCAGGCAGCTAACAAACACAGCCCAAGATATCGGGCTGGGCAAAGAGCCCAATCTGTTGTGGCCTCGGCTCCATATGAAAGAGCTATGGCACCCCCGGCCACTGCTTCTTCAGTAAACCCACAGAGCATCCCTGAGCCATTTTTTGACGAGGATGAGGGTATGGTGTTACCAATGAGCCCCGAGCTCCCCATCCATCAAAACCCAGTGTCCATTTCAGCTCAGGCTCAAGCTCAGACAGTCAAGAGGCCATCTAGCCAAGCGAATCCCATGTATGGTGGCATTCACAAACGAAAATTCAGCCGAGCCGGTCGAACTTCGCCGCCGCAAGCTACGGCGTCTCGAATCGCCATATCTCAGCTTGTGCATTCTCCAGCTAAGGTACCGAAAACAAGGGTGCCTCAGACTGCGGTGCGTCGAATTGCCGTATCTCAACTTGTGCTGCCTTCAACGGTGCCTCGAATTGCCATATCTCAACTTGTGCATTCTTCGACGGTGCCCCGAATCGCTATATCTCAACTTGTACATTCTTCAACTGAAGTACCAAAAACAGTGGTGCCTCGAGTTGCTATATCTCAACTCGTACATTCTTCAACCGAGGTACCAAAAACAGTGGCGCCTCGAGTCGCTATTTCTCAACTTGTGCATTCTTCAACTGAGGTACCGAGAACAGAGGCGCCGCCTCAAACTGCAGTGCCTCAGGCCACGATGCCTCGGGCTTCACGTCGAACTCCTTTGCCATCTGCCAGACCAGACAAGCAGCGGCGTGTTCGCCTTTCGCGTGCAGGAATGTGGCTATCTCAGGACGACCTCGACCGTTGGCAGGAAGAAAGAAGAGATCCCTATCGCCTCCCGTCATTCGATGACTCATTCAGCAATGTAACTATGACTGATGTTCAAACCAGTCATGAGAAACAGGCTTCCTCTGAACCGGCAGGAGGGGTGTTCAGTCTCGATGCTTATCGTATAAACCCTGCAACTTCTTGCGCACGCAATTGGCTTGGAATGGTAAATAACTAGGAATTTTCAGATAGTAACAGATGAGCTGAGACTCGATTGATAACATATCATGAAGGATGGCCTTTCAAATTGCCGCTCAACCGCCTTATCGAGCTCAGTGGTGATGGTGACGGGAATATCGGTACAGTGAGCATGGGTGTTAGCTTATATGAAATTGAAGTATTTTGTTTTTGGAATTGACCTTTCTTGCATCCCCGAACACCAGTAGACACACCGATTGTAGATAACGATTCATGGAGACCAGAAGAAGAGAAGATGGAAATATTCTTCTTCGTGAGCATGAGGCGAATGGTTGAAGTCAAAGTTTAGAATCGGCATGGTAACCGCCCAGCAACATTTACAATGTCCGCAGAATCGATCCTAGAAACAATCGCAACCAGTCCGGGCAAACACTTCCATAAACAAGCGATCCGACCTAGGGATAAAGCCTGAACCGAGAAATCCGTCGATGATGCTCCTAGTCTGTTGATCTACGGCTCACATGGCCCCGGCACTTTTATGCGACCCAATGGGGACCATCGGCTAAAATGCGACGCTGGACCAACATCTTGTTCCATGGATTGTGTTCGCATCTCGGATTCCCCCTCACGGCATTTGTACAATGGCGTCAGATGATCAACAGTTGCACGATGTAACCTGAAGACAAAGCTCTGCCGTAGCATGGAACCTCTAGCCTCTCCATTGCGGTGTACAGCCGCAATTTCCAGTACCAATGTAATGTCGTGGCATAGTCCCGCTGAGGAGAAAAGCGTATTCAAGAGGCGTACAAGACGTAGCAAGCAATTAAGCTTAATGAAATTATATGGAGCCCCGTGGATTGGCCGAAGAATCCGTGAGAGTCAGGGGAACATGGATTGTTGTCTTTCTCCGCATTGATCGGCCTCGGTTCCGCTCCTTCCACACCAACGTACTCTTTCAAGACCGATCCAACGGGTTGGGAAGATGAAAGACGCCTATCCAGTAAGCCGACGGTACATACCATGGGATGGATCCATTCTGTCCACCGCTCGTTGTGCGTATACTTGTTGAACCTTGTCGTATCTGCATCTCCACATCACCCCTCATTATGAGGTATAGAAAAAGTATCCATGCGTAGGACAACAGGCCATTGCTCGCATGCAGCGTATCATTGGGTTAGGCAGAAGGCAAGAAAAGAGGGGAAGTGAGCTCGATGCAAGGGATCCTCCTTGAGAATGTAGCAGTATTTATAGATACAGTTCTCCTCTGGTTCTGGAGAGAGGTAAGACCTCAGATAAAAAGGGTTGCCCCCTCCCTTGAATTGAGCTTCTCCTTTCTGTAAACAAAACAATTGGGTATCCTCCATGCGGTAGGTCCATGCTGTAGGACCATCCGAATAAGAAGAGCTCTGAATACGCCGAATATGATTTCGGCACGTCTGCTTGTGCTTGCCTGTTCTCTGGCGGCTGCCGTCGCGCAGAGCAGCAGTCCGACACCCTACAAGGTTCAGACACCGCCCTTGGACACTGATTGGACGTACAGTGTTGGTACCAATCCATGGCCAGAGCATCCCCGGCCACAGCTTCATCGCGACGCCTGGAAGAGCCTCAATGGCATTTGGACGTTTCAGCCTGCTGGTCCTGGGGATGGCGACTCCGATAGCCCTCCGGATGGCCCACTTCAGAGCGAGGTTCTGGTGCCGTCCTGTATCGAGAGTGGGCTCTCGGGACTTCAGCTTATGAACATCACAGACATGTGGTTCGCGACCAGCTTCAAGATACCGCATGCCTGGCATGGGCAAAATGTGATCTTGAACTTTGAGGCAGTTGACTACCAGGCGGTGGTGTTTGTGAACGGAGCCAGGGCCGGGACCCACACCGGAGGATATTTTCGGTTCGGGGTGGATATAACCCAGTTTGTCAAGTTTGGCGATGACAACAGCGTGTAAGTCATGTTCCCCCCCTTGGTGGCCGCGACAATGTGATCATTCGCTGTGGCAGGAGTGAGCGTGTGAATGGTGATGATGCTGCATACTGATCTCGGAACAGAACCGTGTTTGTTCACGATCCAACAGACTTGGATGTCATTCCAGTTGGAAAACAGACCCGAAATCCTAGCCACATATTCTATCGATCGTGCTCCGGAATATGGCAATCTGTGTGGCTGGAAAGTGTGCCCTCAAACCATATAACCCAGCTGGACGTTGCTGCGGGAATGGACGGCACAGGTACGAAACTACCAGAATCCCCCCTCTGCAGTGGCCTGCGATCCAAACTCACGTCTAACGCCATTTATAGTCTCTGTGACGGTCCACAGCTCGAACAAGCAAGGCACCTCCGCCAAAGTGTCCGTCGTCGGACTCGACGGTCGCGTCATTGCTTCGCAGAAGGGCCCTTCCGATGAGGAGTTCAAGTTCCAGGTCAAGCAGCCAAAGCTGTGGTCTCCAAACTCTCCAACTTTGTATAACTTGACGGTGACTCTTGGTGAGGATGAAGTATCCAGCTACACTGGATTTCGCACCATTTCCAGTGGGAAAGTCAAGGGGGTCCAAAGACCACTCCTAAACGGACAATTCACATTCATCTTCGGCACGCTCGATCAGGGATTTTGGCCTGATGGGCTGTATGTGCCGCCAAACAGAGAAGCCATGATATATGATCTGAAGATGCTTAAAGGGTTGGGCTTCAACACGGTCAGAAAACATGCAAGTAACCCGTTTATCCGTCACCAGCTTCTTGTCGATTGGGTACTAAATCAAGTCGTATGCCGCAGATCAAAGTTGAGCCAGATTTGTTTTACCGAGCTTGCGATGAAATTGGTCTGATGGTCATCCAAGACATGCCTAGCCTGACTAACGACGGGAGTCGGCCTCCGAATCCTGACCAACAGGCAGAGTTTCAACGTCAGCTCGAAATCTTGGTCAATGAGCATAAGAGCTATCCATCGATTATTACTTGGGTTTGTTCTCCCATGGCTGCCCATAATTGATCTCCACAATGATTCAAGCTGACTCCAAATCCACGATGCAGGTCATTTATAACGAAGGATGGGGGCAGCTCAGGGGTCCACCCTATCCTGAACTGCAACTCGTGGAAGTTGTTCGTGAAATCGACTCAACAAGGCTAATTGATGCAACAACCGGGTGGAATGATCATGGCGCCGGAGATTATTCGGTGAGTCGACTGTCATGTTCCATACATGATTTGCTCGAGAAGAGAACGCGGGCTGATGAATGCGTCATGATAAGGACAACCATCACTACGCCAATCCGCAATGCGGAACACCGTTTTATTCCACTCCTTCTTCTCCGTATGACCCCAACCGTATCGGGTTCCAGGGCGAATTTGGCGGCATCGGCCACAATGTATCAATCGAACAGTTGGTCTCCCTTCTCTACTCTGCATCTCTCAACTGTTGGGAGAGTTCAGTAGCTGACAAACTGTTAGTCTTTGGAACGTTCAAGAGGCCATCAACACCATCAACCAAACTTACGAAGTCAATGACGACCTGGTTTCATACAACTATCGCGCGAGTCTCTTGTTCCGCGAATTTTATGACCAGGTTGAGCGCTATGCTTGCAGCGGCGGCATCTGGACGCAGACGACCGATGTCGAGGGTGAAGTTAATGGTCTATACACGTATGACCGCCGTCTTTTGAGGCCAGATCCGAGGCAGTGGAAGAGCGCTATCAACAAGTTATACGCGGCTGCGGCAGGGAGGCGATGATTGTGTAGGCCATATATGCGAGCCAGTATAGTGCAGGGTAGTGGTAGATGATGGCAGCTACTCCATGATATCTGAACCCTGATTGAGGTTTGATGCATGTAATGAAATTGCTTCTTTGAATTCGTTGTAGAAGCATCATCTTGTCCTACCGGTTAATCGACTCCATTGAAACAGCCTTCGTATTGTTGTTGCTGCTGTTGTTGTTATTGTTGCTGGCGAAATAGTGCAAGATTTCCACCATTGAGGTGCTCTGTCCAATCCGCAACCCGAAGAATCCATTGCATGATAAAGCTCTGGGGGAGCTAGGCTGATGTCCTGGTGTCAAGAACTGGAGGAATGTTTGTTGAAAAGTGTCTGATTCTGCCAAGGTACTCGTACTCCAATGCCCTGTTGATGTTGGAGTGCTGCCTCAGACATCAATTCTCGTTGATGCCTTCCGCAACTTGCAACTGCCTCTTCGCAAAACCTCACCCCCCACCTGCCACATGCAAACCGCCACCAAACAAAGCTACATTGAGTACTCCGTATGTACCGCCCGTTCCCCAAAAGGGCTAGATCAGGTCCAGAACATCTCCCTCGTTTCCCCACCATCCCGCAATCGTATTCGGACCTTTGACCGCTAGGCAGTTTCCGAGAAAGTTTGCAGCCAAAAGACTCAAAAGCCACTTCATCGTCCCACAATCATGTGATAGAGCTCCTTTTCAGCATATTCGTCATGTCATGAACAGGGACCCAATGCGATTATCAAGTTGATTCGACTCTCGCGGATTGGTCAATTGCGCAGCGTTTGCTTTGGCTTGTGACAGTCTGTTGGACCGCCCAAGAACAAGGACAATAAATACCTAGACGACGATACCGTTTCCCCGGCCGCCCTCACTGCAAGTTGCAACAACATTGGCTCTCCCCGAGGGCCTTGCTATCCCTTCAATTACATCGATAGATTTTGATTCTCGACTCGACCGTCCCGAACGAGCATTTACAAGATCATTCTTCTCTTTCCACCGGGTACATCTACAATTGCAGTTCAATGTCGGAAACAATGATTTCGGAGGTCCATACACGTGAGCGGCGTGACGTCTACCATGAGGCCGATGTCGTCGTTGTCGGTGCCGGTGTCTTTGGCTGCGCGGCTGCCTTCGCTCTGGCAAACCAGGGACGCTCGGTGCTTCTTCTCGAGAGATGGATGCATGAGCCCGACCGGATTGTGGGCGAGCTGCTGCAGCCAGGAGGTTTGACGGCCCTGAGGAAGCTGGGCCTGGGCCACTGCATCGAGGCCATCGACGCAATCCCTTGCTACGGCTACAACGTCATCTACCACGGAGAGCCATGCGCTATTCCCTACCCCGGACTCAACGAAAAGGGCGAAGTGACCCATGCGTGGGGAGGAAGAGGGACGGGCGGAACGAAGCAAGAGGGGTGCGGATTCCATCACGGCAAATTCATCTCGCAGTTGCGCAAGGCGTGCCTGGGCCACAAGAACATCACAGTCGTCGAGACAGAGGTTGTCAAGACGATTCGAGGAGAGCACACAGACCAGGTCCTGGGCGTGGAGTCACGGACCACAGTCAACAAGGAGACGGGAGAGAAGAAGAGCGACTACTTCTTTGGCCAGCTCACCATTGTTGCCGACGGATACGACTCCAAGTTCCGAAAGCAAGTCCTAGAGACCAAGCCCGTCGTCAAAAGCAAGTTTTATGCCCTGGAGCTGGTCGACACGAAGCTACCGCTGCCCTTCCACGGCCACGTCATCATCGGCAACGCCTTCCCCATCCTCCTCTACCAGATCGGCACCCACGAGACCAGAGCGCTCTTCGACGTGCCCGCAAACATCCCCCAGGCCTCTCCCGAAGCCGGCGGCGTCCGCGGCTACATCAAGAACTGCGCCATCCCCGTGCTCCCCGAGGCCATCCGCCCGGCTGCCGAAAAGGCCCTCGCCGACGGCAAGATCCCCCGCAGCATGCCCAACAGCTGGCTCCCCGCCGTTCCCCAGACCCCGAGCGGCCTCGTCGTCCTCGGCGACGCCCTGAACATGCGGCACCCCCTTACCGGCGGCGGCATGACCGTCGCCTTCAACGACGCGCTGCTGCTCTCCGAGCTGCTGCATCCCGACCTCGTCCCCAACCTCGAAGACAAGGCGGCCATTCGCGACGCCATGAACAAGCTCTACTGGCGCCGCAAGAACTTCACCAGCATCATCAACACCCTCGCCCAGGCCCTCTACTCCCTATTCGCCGCCAACGACCGCCAGCTGCGCGCCCTCCAGCTGGGCTGCTTCGAGTACTTTCGCCGCGGCTGGACCGACGGGCCGGCCGGCCTGCTCGGCGGCATCATCCAGCGACCCCTCGTGCTTGCGTACCATTTCTTCTACGTCGCCTTTGTGGCCATCTGGATGAACGGGGCCAACGTCATTGGCGGGCCGCTGGGCTTCTGGAAACTGCCCCTCGCGCTGCTCGATGCCGTTCTCATCCTGTGGAAGGCCTGCGTGGTCTTTTTGCCAGTTATCTGGAGAGAAGGCTTCCAATGAAGAAAAATATGAGCAAAGCAAAATCCAACACAATTTCTTTTTAATACCTTGTTTCTTATATATATACATGCTTCTTCTCTTGTATGAAAATATCAACGTTGGATTTTCTTTTGGCATTTACCACAGGCGAGGCGCGGAGTTATACGAGGCTAATATACCTTGGAGAGAAAGAAGAAGAAGAAGAAGAAGAAGAAAATGGCAAGGCTAGGCTCTGGATGAGAAAAATGTAGTTACGCAATTATGGCTAGAAAAGATGCTAGAGACGTTAAATAATCGTAATACTAACCTCATTTCATATGACTCTTTTTATTTTTCTTATTTTCCATGCTGTAGCTATCTGGCCCTTCGATGCCATGTAGGTGTGAGTGCGGATTCTATGCCGCTTGCCTGCTAGATGTGTTAAAACGAGTACAAGTTGCTGGCCAATGCTTAAATCGAGGCCCTGCTGCGCTGACTAGATTAGTCCTACTCTGCTTGATATCATCCATGATAAACATGTGCCAGTTTTCCCAAATTTCATTCTTCTCTCCATCATTTTGCATGTAGTCAAGTCTCAGGTGAGGCGTCTCCTATATACGCCCATCATCCAACTCGCCCTCAAGACGGCCAGTCCAATGGCCATTTTGATACTGTCCTGGATAACATTCAGCTTACTTCCACCGACCTCGTGCCACTCAATCGGCACCTCGGCGACCTTGATACCGGGGCTAGTGCCGATAACACTGCCATCGCTGCCCAAGACGGGAGTGGCCGGGGCGGACTCGGCGAGCATCAGCATCTCAATGTCGAAGATCCAGCCTTCGGCATGCATGTAGGGGACGATGTGTGGCAGAGAGGCGCGGGTGAAGAGCTTGAAGCCGCATTGGGTGTCGCGGATGCGAGATGTGGCGGGAGGCGTGAGGATGGTGAGGACCAGGTGGAATGACCGCATGAGAAAGTTTCGAAGAGCAGAGCGCTGAGAGAGTGAGAGAGAGAGAAGAGGTTAACAGAAATACAGAGGTGTGATATGTCGTTCATATGAGACGGATTTTGACATACCTTGACAACGGCCTCGCTGCCAACGAGATGGGCACGGCTGCCAATGGCAACACCACGGCGTGAGCCATCCACAACGTCTTCAACGCCTTCAATCAATCTCGCCACGTCGCTAAACCGCGATGCGCCATCTGCATCAGCAAACAAGGCATACTCGCCGCGCACATGACGAAGGCCATGAGTGACGCCGCCGCCCTTGCCCCGGTTCTTAGCCAGAGACACCACCCTCAGGACGTCGTGCAGGCCATTCTTTTGCGCAAACTCCAGAACCACATCGACCGTCTTGTCGCGGCTCCCGTCATTGACAATGATGATTTCATAGCCGCTGAGGCCCAGCTCCTTGGGATCGGCAGCACCAGGCGCATGCCGCTTCTTTGCCGGCGTAGTAGGGTTCTTGGCGCCGGCGCCGCGTCCAAAGTGCGTGTCCAGATACTCCACGGCCTCCTCCAGCGTGGGGATGACACGGTCTTGCTCGTTGTACGCGGGGAAGACGACGCTGAGGAGAAGCTCGGCGGGCTCGATGGAGCCGACGTCAGGAGTCGGGTATGCCTCGTCCGGGCGAACTCGCCGCTCGCTGAGGCGGCGTTCTGCGAGCCACCGATCGTACCAACAGGGAAGAGGGCGCGGCGTCGTCTTGCCAGAGGGGCTGCTGGTGATGTATGTCTTTTCAGAAGACAGGGCGGGGCGAGGCTTCGGGGCGACGAGGTGGAGGAGGATGAAGAGCTGCGCATCACCGGTTAGCTTCGCGGGCTTGAAAGGGGGGAGGGAGCAATTGAAAGAAATTAAGAGGCGGGAGATGGCCGCATACGCTGACAAGGCCAAGCAGGACCAGCACCAAGAAGAGGGCGAGGAGGATATAGACTGGAGTTGCTTTGGCCCAGGCCCAGAGCGGCGCGGGAAGCTCCAACAAGGCTGTCGCAAAGTCCATTTTTGGGTGTTGGCGCTGGCCTGAAGCCAAAGACGGGGGAGAAGAATGGATCAGTCAGATGCTGTGCATGTGTAGGAATGGAAAGACGAAAAGAGAGTGGGGGGAAAGAAGAGGCAAAAGAAGAAGAAAAAGACGATGAATAAATGTTAAGCGAAACCAAACAATTGAGGAAAAAAAAAAGGACAAATGAAAAGGAATGCGAGATGTCGAAATGCCAGATGCCGCAAGTTTCACTGACACCTGGCGGATAAGCTGTCCATCGTACAGTACCTAGTATGACGCGCCTGCCCGAATCTGCGGTTGCCAGCAGTGAGGCCACAGTTTCGGGGTGCGGGGGGCAGATGGTCTCCACACGGCAAGGCTAGCCAATCACGGGCAGCGGGTTTCGGGTCCGTAGCGGTGCCCGCTTATAGTGGCGGCGCTGCTTGAGGTGGCGGTACAAGTGCAGTAGTGAAGAGCGCTGTGGCTTATTACTACTAGGTACTACTAGGTAGGTACCTATCTCGTATCAACTGTATCAGTATCACTGCCATTGATCTCAATTTCACAACGGGCACACGGTATTATCGACGACGAGATTTTCACGCAGAAAAGGCCAAGTGCACTCAAGTAATGTCATTTCTAATTGAAGTTGAAAAGAAAAAAGAAAAGGATAGAAAAGAAAAAGAAAGGAAAAATAATGGCAGAGACAAATATGGAAACAACACACAACTCGCCCGTTGTAATCCCAGTGTATCAATCAAAGCGCCCATTAAATAAATCAATATCCAAAAAGTAAAAGAAAGAAAAAAGCCCCCTGTTTATAATGAGAGCGCGCGTATGTGCGTGTGTGTGCCAACTCTTTCTATTCCATCAAACAAATTTTCATTCCGTCATAAATGAATGGCCTGCTCTCTTTATGCCGCCAAAGATTCTCATCGGTGCTGGTAAGCTTGCAAAGCATGCTCCACGCCCGGAGTATGCCATAGTATAGTCGCTGTGCGCAGAACATGTCAAAGCATCAAAACAAAGGAGAAAAACCAAGTAAACTCCGGATTCCATATATTCTTTCCCTTTCACCCAAAGTAAATGGCCCATCAGTGGGCAAGAATAGCAAGCAGTCATGGTATGGTGCCATATCCAAAATGCAAGCAATGCAATAGACTGAAACAACAACAAAAAAAGGGAAGTACAAGGGCTGATATCAATTAGATTGCCCAGCTAAACAGTGACAGCAGGCGCTTTTGAGCTAGCCCAACGGGATTTCTTGGCAAGCTTGCTGCTGCTCTTGGAAAATCTCTTTGACTTTTTGGTGGCCTCGGGCTCTGGCACCGAATCTTCTTCTGGGAAGACGTTGATGATGATGGACTGCTTGACAACGGGAGTAAGGACTGGGTCGGGCGTTGGGACAGCTTTGGGGGTAGGAGTAACAGCAACAGGAGCAGGAGCAGTGACAGGTTGACGTTCGCTCTCAGACTTTGCAGCCGCCAACGCTTCAGCACCAGACTCGATCCGTTCCAGCTCTGTGAATCGAGTCACCTTGGCAGCTTTGCGCTCCTTGGAAGCCCTGCTGTTATGTTCCGGAGAGGGGTTGCGGTCCGTCGATGCAAGAGCGGAAGTAGAAACAAGAGTGGTAGCCGAGGTGTTGAGGCTGGCATTGAGGGAGCTGGCAAGAGACGTTTCGGGCAAATCAACCTGCGGAAGGGTGTAATTGCGCAGGATTGGGGTGGGTGCGTTGACAATGGGCGCAATGGACGCAATGGAGCCGAAGCCTCTCATGGACGTGGGAGGGCGGGAATCTCGGGCGGCTCCCTTTGCCGAGTTTGCCATGGCAATTCGCTCAATGGATGAGTCGGACGTGCGGCGATGGCCCGGCCGCGGTCGACGACTGGCCCTCTCGGCCGCCGTGGGAGGCGGGGGAGGCCGCACCACGGGAGGGCGGGCAAGTCTCATCTCGAGGTCATCTTGAGAACTCGTAGAGCCGCTGGAGCTCTCTGATTCTTCTGGGTGTCGGGAGCGGCTGGTTAGCATCTTGCGGGTCAAGGTGGCGCACAGAAGCAGCAGCAGACGACAGCGACGACGACGAACCTTGAGAGGAAGTTGGGCTGGTCCTCGATGTGTTGTAGCCAGACACGGACACTCTGACGACCTCTTTGCCCTTGGCCGAGGCGGCGTAGGCCGTAAACTGCGAACCAACATCGGGCATTGAGTGGGCAATGTCCCGGCTGTAGCCTGCCGAGTAGGGTGAGACACCCGTGTAGCTGTACGCTCGGGGCAGGCGGACCATGGGGGTGACGCTCTTGTCCGTGGGGTACGAGACATGGGACAGGCTGCTGCCAACGCGAGGGGCGCCGGGCATGTTCATGTGGTGGCCGGACGCAGCCATGGCACTCCTCCGGCGGTTCTGCTCCTGTATCTTCTGTCGGTCGTCCTCTCGCCAGCTGGGCGGCGCGCTGGCGATGGCATCCGTGGCGGCGTGTGTGGGGACGTGCCTGTAGGGAGTCTTTTCAATTTCCTTCTTCTCTTGCTCAGCGAGCTTCGCATTGTGCTCCTTGGCCTGCTGGCGGCTCTTTCTCATGCGCGAGAAGATGGACATTTTGACCCTTTGTTTTCCCTGCGCGGCAGTTCCTTGTTTTGTCACCGGCCAGGCTGTGGTGTTGCAACCGAGGCGAACCCAGGTCCAGCTTCACTTCAAGGTTCAGAAGCCCCAGATATATATATGCGTGCCAAGCAGACGGATGGGTGGTGTAATGGGAACCGGGGTATAGTAGAATAAGCTAACGGGGTAATGCAAGCACAGAGCGGCTCCGCTCCGTAAGCTTCGGAAGGGCAAAGAGGAATGATGCGGCAGCGATGTGCCGAAGATTGTTGCAGATCTGATGGATTGGCGTTTCAGGGGAGCGATGACGGGGATGTTGTTGGTACTGCTGTTGCGCCGTCGACAGTGAGCGAGAGAAAAGTGTGAAGAGCGGGACTTGGACTCGGCGTGACGGAGAAAGTATAAGCAGTAGTGGTATAGTATCTGTACTCAGGCCGAGTTGGTGGTTTGGCAAGTTGAGGTGCACTCGTAGCTTGCTCTTGGCGAAGGACCACTCTCTTATACTAGTAGTATCTAGAAAGTTTGTTGAGTGTTTGATATGGATGGAGAGGTGGATGGGCCGCTTATAAGTGAGTGGGTGGATCGGATCAGATGCGAGGGATGAGATGGACTGGGTCTCTGCTGCTGGGCGGGTTCAAGGCAAGACAGCAGGGCCTTGCTCACCTTGGAGCCAAGCGCCGGAGCCGGGTTTAGATGACGATCTAGCCCGTGGCGGTTGGTTGGCTCAGCTTCACCAAGCCCTGGTCATGGGAGTTGGGGAACCAGAGGTGACAGCTAACGATAATAGGGGGTGCTGAAGAAGAGGAGGGAGAGGAAGAGGCCGTAATCAAGCGAGGGGAAGGGAGAAGAGACGAGCAAAAGTTGGGCTCCAGCCCTATGTCAGAGAAGGCCTGGGGAGCTGAATAATGACTCTATGCTGCGGATCACCGGGAATGGCGGACCAGGAGAACGAGCGAGGAGAAAACAGAGGGCAAGAGAGAGAGAGAGAGCAGGAGATGGAGAACAAGGAAAAGAGGGAGGGTACAACTACCTGGTTGCGGTTAAGGCACGCAAAGGCAAGGAACAGAAGAGAAGAGCAATGGAGATTTTGGAGAATCGGGGGGTTTGCCGATGCAGATGGGAGAATAGTGTGCTTTTTTGCGCCTAGGCGTCGAGCGCTGGGCACAGCTGAAGGTGATGGACAAGCCGCTGAGGTACTCGTACATTCACCTGTGCTGGCACGTACCCTGTCGGCTACTACCTCTGCTAGGTAGACAAGAGGCAGATGAGATGGCTTGCAACGGGGGCGCAAATGGTTGGCTCGGGACATGGAGGTTTTTGCAATGGGACGATGCAAAAGCGGCTGACTCGAGGGATTGGCGTCGTAAGACGTGTGCAGGACGGTGGCACACGTGGTTGCAGGAGGCTGTACCAAGTACTTGGCCTGGGCCGGGTACCGGTACATGCAGCGTATCGGGCTTTGGGAATCGTGATGTGGGCTTATCAGGGATGCTCATGCTCATGCTCATGCTCAGGGCATGTCTGTCTCCATGGATGTTGTTCAGATTGTACTCGTCCTGTACTCGTATGTACCCGTCCCTCGTACTGCACTCGAATGGATGACTTCATGTTTTCAATGGATGCTCGTTGAGTGATCCAATGCCATTGGCGCCACTGCTGCTCCTCTTCCTCCCAGCACTACTAAAGTAGCCCAGTTTATTTTCGATTGATCAGTCATGTCTCACCCAACAATGGGATCATTGTCCGGGCACTGGTGAAACCTTGTGTCAGAAGACGAACGAGCAGCAGCTCAAATCGATGCATCTTATCAGCAAAAAAAAAAAAAGAATAAAAACAAAATAAAAATAAAAAGCCAATGGCACGGCCTTAGCAGCTGAGGCGAGAACGGGCCCTAGCACGCTTGGACACGGCCTGAAGCCCCTCCGGCGGCCCATCAAGGATCCATGCCCTAATGCCGTTACTGCCACCGTTCGGGGCGGCGGCAGCCCGCTGGGCTAGGCACTAAACAACAAGTAGTGCGCTAAATACTTTCCGCGCAAAGCGTAAAAACTGGCGATGCGATCCCACTAGCAGTTGATGGCAACCAGGTACCTGATAGATAGCGGTGGGACCCCCCAAGCCGCAATTTGATGCTTGCATCCATCTGATCCATGCAATCAACTCCATCCATTGATTTGATTTGATTTGATCCAAGACGTTGCCTGGAATTGAAGTCGAGGTCAAGCAACGGAAGGGGCAGATAACGCACTCGCCCGTGTAGAAATGAATCCCGTCCCGTACAGGTACTTCTCACCACGTTACAGCGCAAATTGATGGGTTGTCGAAATGACCGAGGCACGGGACTCTTTCTTGTCAAACACCACCAGAACAAATCAATATTTCCATGCACAAAAGCATCGCCACCACCACTGCTACCACCTCTCTGTACAGTGCACACACAATGCTACCTCCGCAGTTCGCCTGACCACGTTGCAGTGAGGCGAGTTAGATCCCGCCGTAGGTATCTTCTCCGTCTTGGAGTTGTTGTGAGCTCGACTTCACCCACCATCTCCTCCTCCTTACACGAAACATGGCGATCAAGGAACCGGAAACTCTGTTTGGACCGTCGACGCCATTGAGCATAAGCTCCGTACATGCCTCTCCCCCCTCACTTTGGCAACCACCATCTGGCATTGCCCGCCAGCCACCTCTGTTCGTCGAGTTCCACCGCTCTCAGCAAATCAACGCCTGCAGCAGATATGGTGACGCCGAAAAGCTGCTCCCTCTGGCTCCAAAAGCAAGGTAGGCCCCAGAACCGCCTGCAGCAAACCCTCCTCGCCATCTCGTATTCTGCTCACGGACCCCATCCAAAGGGCTACCAAGTACGGAGTACGAGGACTTGCGCGCTGGCCACCAACCAATTCTCCTGCGGCCTGGTGCCTGGGGGAAAAAAAAAAAAAAAAAGAATGGCCGTCATGCTGGCGGCTTGCTAGTGCTGCTCCGGTGCTACTCACCATGGAGCCCAGGAGCATTAGGCGCTTACTGGGAGCTCCATGGAGGCTTGCTTGGCTGAGATCCCACTGCAACTGCAGAGCGGCTCGGTGGAGAAGAGAGGCATCAAACTTTGGAGTGCCTGAACTCAAGACGGCCAGCGAACGTGCTTGATCCCTGTCAACGTTGGGTGGGCGGGTATGGCGCCGCCAAAGTCCAGCCGCACGCACGCTAAAATAGAACGCATATCGTACAGAGTGTCCGGACAAGTCAGAAAGCAGAGAGAGCTTGCCGCGACCTCCGTGGCTCAAGCCATCTCGTACGGTTTGCATGCAGAATACGGTGTACGGGGAGGGAGCGTGTATTATCCTGAAGCTCTACTCCGCAGGGCGGCTCTGGTTTCGACCAAGACAGCATGAAAGCCTCTGATCTCGGTCAATGTTGGACAATCCAGAACGCTGATACGTAGCCGCTCTCTCGGCTACTACACATGAGTAGTAGTTCGCCGGCCTTTACTTGCCCTTCCTATCGGAAGCCGCTGCTCAATGCGTGCGCAGTGGACTCGGCCAGCAAAAACCGGGTCTTTCAATGCCAGGAGCAAACGGGCTGAGAAGCCAAGGGGGGCCAGGAAAGGGAAGGGAAGTGCCCGCCATGCCGCTTCGTTTGTGATAAGGCAGAGCATCATGGTGAGATCATTGGACGTCGAGATTAGGAGACTCCCGGCAGCAGCCTCTACCATAACGCCACCAGGAACGTGGCAATTCCTCTGGTCGAAAGCCGAAATGATTGACCTGTCAATGCTGTCAACCACCACCATGGCTATCTGCCTAGCCGGAAGCCATTGCCGAAGCGAGACATTCGTCAGACCGAAGTGAGCCTCTCCGCCTCTCGCCGGGCTTTGAGGTACAAGTATATCATGTACGAGTACGGAGTGTGTAGTTATACTACTCCCATGTACTTTCGCATCCCACATGTTGCAGACCGACTTTGCTCCGTAGCAGGTTACGGGACGGTAGCTACCGTACCGCTGGGAGCCAAGCCATCATGGTGGATAGTATTAATAGCAAGTCGTCGCTAGCCAAGACAATTGTCGAGGCTAGCACGAGAATGCTCGAGCAGCGGCCATCTTGAAAGATTGGCTGCCGCACAAATGCAATTTGACTCCCGCAGGAAGCCGAGTAGTAGTCGGAAATTTTCTCAGTCTTTTGTGCGTTCCCAATTCGACAGGAGCCATTAGTTTCCAATCAACTCGATGCGGATGCCAAGTCGATAATCATACAATGGCCGAATCCCGAATGCTACCAAGTAAGCAGGGCACTCGATAGCTGTTGGTACTATTCGTACTCGTACCAATAGGGCAGCTTCTCATCCCGTCTTGCCTGCTGGGCGTTCCGGTACACATAGAGCTTGGGAAACGACGTGGGGGTAAGTGTCCGGATTTTCAACACTGCCAATGTTTCCGTCATGCATGTATTATGCATATGCCGGTGTTGAGCGGCTATCCGGGTCAAGCTGTTGCACAAGCTCGAGGATGTTATCTTGGGAAACCTGTACGTGCAAGGAATGAGAGATAAGACCGGCAAGATAGCGTGAACCTACACGCATTGACCTGATATCAGCAACACAGCATACATCTTGCACGGCAAGGCTCTTACAAGATAAGCCAGGACCCGTAGGACCCATGAAATTTCCTGTCGTCCCTCGTTTCCAGCCCCGAGTCTGTGATGCTACAGTAGAGACGTACTGTAGTGCCAGCGGTAGTACTACTCGTATTAGCTGGATGCAGTCCAATGCCGGAACCATTCCCCCTTCCCTCAAGGGTTTGCATGTACCGGGAAGATGCTATGCCTCCTTTGGTGGCACACAGCTCTCCATCTGGTACTCAGGGTCCGCATCGACCACGATTGCGGGCCAGGGTCTCGGTCCAGCGCACAAGGCGAACGCCTCCAAATTACCGCTTTGGTTTCAACAACACTCAACTGCATAGACTAACGACTCAGTACGGACTCGAAGCGATGCATGTATGG